AGTCAGGCCGGAGCTGCTTTCATTTTCCTTTGCACCTGGGCTGTTTTTCTTTGGGTGCGATGTTTCATCCTCTTCCTTTCGATCCCCGCCCCCTTTGTCACTACAGGGTGTAGGGGTTGGAGGATGGAACCCTATGAGTAAGCCTTGCAGGAGGGATGAAACACATCAGTAGGAGTCAGGCCAAAGCTGCTTTCATTTTCCTTTGCACCTGGGCTGTTTTTCTTTGGGTGCGATGTTTCATCCTCTTTCTTCCCAGGTGTTTTCTTATGTTTGAGTGGAGCTCAGCTTTCAGGCAACCCTGTTAGTCGTCTAAAAAGATTTAACTGCCAATTCCCTGCAATAGAAGAGATGTCATGCACCCCTCTACAGGGACCCGTATCTCCTGCCTTCTATTTACTCCAGCTCTGCTGGCTTCATTAGGGTCTTCAACATTCAAGACTTACAGGAGTGTTGGATACTTGTGTCCCCCTACTATGTGTTGTGGTTCGATCCTCCGCTCCCTTTTGTCACTACAGGGCGTAGGGGTTGGAGGATGGAACCAGAGAGCGTAGCAGGGGGGACGCAGATATCCAACTCTCTCGGAAGTGTTGAATGCTGAAGAGCCCAATTATGCAGGGGCGGACTGACCATGGCCCGAGGGCCTGGGGTCAGTAGAGGGGGCCTGATGAGAGGCTCACTGGGCACAATTCACTAAGAGGTATCTTTCTGCATCCAAGTATGTGGTAGGATACCGCTTAGCATTTAAAAAAAAAAAAGTTTGACTTCACCAAAAAACGTGAATAAAATACCGTATGAGTTATTTTATCAATTTGGTATTTTAGTAGTGAAAAACATGAGTTCATGTTTGAGCCGTCAGCGAGGTTCCCCACTGACAGCTGAATGTAAAAGACAGAATTGCCGGAAATTAAAAAAAATTATTTAAAAAATGGTCTGGGGTCCACCCTCCCATCCATACCAAGCCCTTCGAGTCTGGTATGGATTTTGAGGGGAACCCCCATGCCAAATTTTTTTTAAAATGTCGTGGGGTTCCCCCCCCAAATCCATACCAGGCCCGGCAGTCTGGCAGGTCAGGAAAGGGGGGGGGGGACGAGCGAGCACCCCCCCCTCCTGAACCATACCAGGCCACATGCCCTCAACATGGCTCCCCTTCCCCAAAGCACCTTGTCCCCATGTTGATGGGGACAAGGGCCTCTTCCCCACAACCCTAGGATGTGGTTGTGGGGGTCTGCGAGTGGGGGGCTTATCGGAATCTGGAAGCCCCTTTAAGCAGGGGGGCCCCCAGATCCCACCCCCCCATGTGAATGAATATGAGGTACATGGTGCCACTACTCATTCACAAAAAAAGTGTAGTGTGAATAAAGACCAGAGACAGTCTTTGACAAGTCATTTATTAAAAGAAGAAAACTAAAAGAATGTCCCCCAGAGTAGATCCAACATCAATCACGATGCCCGCCCGCCGTTACCCGAAAAATGTAAAAATAAAAAAAAAGGCTCCGCTCCCGACTCTGGCTCCCGGCCGCCTGCCTGCCCTGCTGGCTTGACAGTTCTTAAATATGTAAGGGGCGGTGCCACCCAGGGACTTCGCGTGTGTGACCCCAACCCCTTGTGGCGTCATGCTGGGTCAATGATGTCACAAGGAGGTGTGGCCACACTCGTGATGTCACCGGGTGGCCCCACCCCTTACATATTTAAGGCCGGGAGCCAGCATTGGGGCGGAGCATTTTTTTTCTCTCTTTTTGGGTAGCAGCGACGGCGGGCATCGTTGGATCTACTTCGGGGGACATTATTTTTCTTCTTTTAATAAAGGACTTCTCAAAGACTGTCTCCTGTCTTTTTTTCACACTACACTTTTCTTTTTATGAATGGGTAGCGGTACCATGTACCCCATACTCATTCACATGGGGGGTGGGGATCTGGGGACCCCTCTGCTAAACGGGGCTTCCAGATTCTGTTAAGCCCCCTGCCCACAGACCCCTACAACCACCGGCCAGTGTTGTGGGGAAGAGGCCCTTGTCCCCATCAACATGGGGACAAGGTGCTTTAGGGGGGGAACCCCCCAAAATGCCCCCCCCCATGTTGAGGGCATATGGCCTGCTATGGTTCAGGAGGAGGGCCCCATGAGTTGTCAGTCTGCCCCTGCGATGGAGGCTGTAGTGCTGGGTCAGATGGAAGGCAGGACACACTGGCTGCCCAGAAGGTGAGTAGAACATCTCTTCTATTATCGGTGAATGCCAGATAAATCTGTTTAACTAGCGACAGGGTCAATTGGATTGGCCGATGTCTGCTCTGTGAATGGTAAACAATCATACGAATCGTTTTTATTGGTCGGGGAGACCTTAGTCCTATGTCTATGGGAACCTTCACTTATAGGATTCCGCCATTTACAAACAACGTTGGCGGAGCGCCCCCTGTTAATAATGGATGAGCGTGCGGAGGGGCCGCGACCTGAGAATTTTATGAGTGAGATTATAGAGATTGCCGAGTTAATTGGCTATAGAGTAGGATTAAGGAGCTAATAACAAGCTAACTAGAAAAATGCTAATGGCTTCAAATTAAATGAAGAAAGGAGGCGAATTCCCGAGGTTTTATTACCCCAGCGTTGGATGCGCCGCTTCACCACGGACGAGGGTCAGCTGCCGTTCTCATACTTTGCAGATGGCCCGGGGGGCCACGATCTTCTAGCTGGAACTGGCACCTGGCAGCAGTCAATGTAAATGGTTATAACAGTACAGGATGTATTATCATCATTAAAAAGAGGAAATCCACTTGGGTGTTCACTTTAACCACTTCCAGTCCGGACACTTCCCCCCCCCCCCCCCCTTCCAGTCCGGACACTTTCCCCCCTACTTCCAGTCCGGACACTTCCCCCCCCCTTCCAGTCCGGACACTTTCACCCCCCCCCCCAGTCCGGACACTTTCACCCCCCCCCCCAGTCCGGACACTTTCACCCCCTTCCAGTCCAGACACTTTCACCCCCCTTCCAGTCCGGACACTTTCCCCCCCTTCCAGTCCGGACACTTCCCCCCCCCCTTCCAGTCCGGACACTTCCCCCCCCCCCCCCCCTTCCAGTCCGGGCACTTTCCCCCCCCCCCTTCCAGTCCGGACACTTCCCCCCCCCCTTCCAGTCCGGACACTTTCACCCCCTTCCAGTCCGGACACTTTCACCCCCTTCCAGTCCGGACACTTTCCCCCCTTCCAGTCCGGACACTTTCCCCCCCTTCCAGTCCGGACACTTTCACCCCTTTCCAGTCCGGACACTTTCCCCCCCTTCCAGTCCGGACACTTTCACCCCCTTCCAGTCCGGACACTTTCCCCCCTTTCAGTCCGGACACTTTCCCCCCCTTCCAGTCCAGACACTTTCCCCCCCTTTCAGTCCGGACACTTTCCCCCCCTTTCAGTCCGGACACTTTCCCCCCCTTCCAGTCCGGACACTTTCCCCCCCTTCCTGCCCAGGCCAATTTTCAGCTTTCAGCGCTATCACACTTTGAATGACAATTGCGCGGTCATGCAACACTGTACCCATATGAATTGTTTAGCATTTTTTTGAGACAGATAAAGCTTTATTTTGGTGGTATTTATTCACCGCTGGGATTTTAATTTTTTTTTGCTATGTAAATGAAAAAGTCCAAACATTTTGAAAAAAAAAGTGTTTTTCTTATAAAATTTTGCAAATAAATAGTATTTCATCATAAATCTTGGCCAAAATGTATTCTGTTATCTTTTTATGAAAAAAAAAATAACCCAAATTAGTTTATAACCAAAAATTATAATTTTTTAAAAAAAAATTTACTTTTTATATTATTATTTTTTTTTTTACTACATACTGTCACCCTAGCAGTACAGTGTCACCATGGTGACACTGTACTACTTGTGAGGGGTGATGAAGATTTTTTTTTTTTACACTGATTGCTTTTACACCCATAAAGGCTGTAAAATCAATCATTTCTCCTTCTCTCTGGCTGCATTCTTGCAGCCATTGAGAACTACTGTGTGAGCTGTAATTCTGTGATTGGTCACAGTTTGTCACATGGTACAAGGCTGTTGTGAATAGCCCTGTACCATGTGACCTCGGTGATGATTCACAGATTTCACACGTAGTAAGCAATGATGTCAGAAGTGACATCTTGCTTACTACTCTGCATGTGATCAATGATTGGCCAATCAGTGATCACATGATCGGGACCTCGCAGAGAGGTCCCGTCCAACAATCGGTGTTCCGGAGGACACAGCGGGTACCGGATTGCGGTGCTGTTCGCTCCCAGGGAGCGCGCACAAGCAGGGTGCGGGGAGGCCATTTATAAACAACCACCGTCTGGCCGTTTATATACATGGGCCGGACAGGAGGTGGTTAAATCAACTACATATATTTCAGGTGCATAAAAATAAAAGTGCGCAGAATCTTTCTGTTGAACGTTGTCATGTATTACACGGATGAGGAGTGATAATTGGAGTAAAAAAAAAAGGTCTGTGCCCTGCCAGTATGTTCCAGAAAGGAGCCTTGTTGTATGGAAACAGTGGTCTCTCTGCAGAGGTCTGATATCCCCCTGCTGTGTCTGAGCCAGAGCCCTCCAATCAGCAGGGAGCACAGGCTGTGCTGATTGGAGAGCTGTAAGTCCGACGTGGCAGGGGGTGTTGGCAGGGCTGCTGTTAGAAACCACAGAGCTCCATACAGCCAACCTGACAGGACCCCCCCCCACACACACACAAAAAAAACCCCCACAGTTTACTATACTTTAATTTAGAAATGAACACAGTGACTGATCGGTACTGATCACTCATTGTGTTCATTCAGAAAAGGAAAGAGCTGGTAAATGTGATATATTTACCGAACCCTTCCCCCACTCTCCATCCTGAAGGTATGGTGCACAGGGGGGCAATGTATGTTTTGGTCTCGTCACTCCAGATTACAGTGTGCCAGAAGCTGTGAGGCGTGTCAAGGTGTTTTTTTTTGTGACATTGGTGGAGTAAAGGCTTCTTTCTGACAACTCAGCCAGTCAGCTCATTTTTGGTCAAGTATCATTGTATTGTGCTTCTTGAAACAACCACACTATCTTTGTCCAGAGCAGCCTGTATTTGTAGGTCACCTGTGGGCAGGGGCGGACTGACCATTTAGGCACTCGGGTACTGCCCAAGGGCCCGGGGTCAGTAGGGGGCCCCATGAGATGCCCCTGGTACCTTTCATAGGCTTTTTTGGATGTAGTTTGAGTGTGGGCGAGGACACGGGCCCCATGATTTCTTATTGACCGGGGGCCCCATGTTGTCAGTCCGCTCCTGCCTGTGGGTTTTTTTTTGTATCCCGAACGATTCTTTTGGCAGTTATGGCTGTAATCTTTCTTGGTCTACCTGACCTTGGCTTGGTATCAAGAGATCCCTGAATTTTCTGCTTCTTAATACAGTAAGTGACCAAGGGCGGACTGACCATTCGAGCACTCGGGCACTGCCCGAGGGCCCGGGGTCAGTAGGGGGCCCCATGAAATGCCCCTGGTACCTTTTATAGGCTTTTTTTTTTTGAGTGTAGGCAAGGAAACAGGGGCCCCATGATCCCCTATTGCCCGGGGGCCCCATGAGTTGTCAGTCCACCCCTGTAAGTGACTGAACAGTTCTGACTGGCATATTCAAGGCTTTGGATATCTTGTCATATCCTTTTCCAGCTTTATAAAGTTCCATTACCTTGTTACGCAGGTCTTTTGACAGTTCTTTTCTGCTCCCCATGGCTCAGTATCTAGCCTAGTCAGTGCTTCCACGTGAGAGTTAACAAACCCATTGACTATTTATACACTGACACTAATTGCACTTTAAAAAGCCACAGATGTGGGAAATGAACCTTTAATTGCCATTGTACCCCATGTGTGTCCCCTTGTCTGTCTGTACCAAGGCCGAACATTACGGGGGGGGGGGGGGGGGGGGGGGGTGGGGGGGGGGGGGGGGGGGGGGGAACTATTGATAAGGGAATTTAGAGGATTTCTGTTATCATTAGGATTTGAAAAGGAGCCAAACAACGATGTGATAATAAATGGCTTCCTATCATCACTATCCTTACATAAGACAGTTTTTTGGCATCATCAGTCAGATTTTCAATATCAATGCCAAAATTTCACCATTTCTGCCGGGGGAGGGAAACTTTTGAGCACAACTGTAAGTAGTTCTGACACTTTTCTGACATTATACTTGTTCTTGTTCTGTGATTTATAGCAGCCAGACTTAGCAAACATGCTGCTCCTGCGGGGCTCTGTGGTCACGGTGCTCTCTGCAAATGGCACAGACACATCCAAGTGCCAGTCAGTCTTCACCAGAGCACCCTGTAAAGGCCGGACACCTTTATGGTCCCCAGTTTTCTTTGCATCAAACTCTCCCCAGGTCACAGACGTCAGGATCGACTTTCCAAGGGGTTTCTGGACAGAAGGGCTATGGAGGGAAGGATGTTCACCAAAAGGGCAGATCAGAGAGTCAGGTCCAGGCAGTGGTCAAGGCAAGCTGCAGGCAAGAGAATAGTTAAATCCGGGAAGAGGTCAAGGCAGGCAGCAGGCAAGGGAATAGTCAGGTCTGGGCAGGGGTCAAGGCAGGTCGCAGGAAATAGAGTAGTCAGGTTCACACAGAGGAGAAGGCACATGGCAGGCAAGAGAGCAGTCAGGTCCAGGCAGAGGTTAAGGCAGGCAGCAGGCAAGGGAATAGTCAGGTCTTGGCAGGGGTCAAGGCAGGTGGCAGGAAATAGAGTAGTCAGGTTCATACAGAGGTCAAGGCACGCAGAAGGCGAGAGAGCAGTCAGGTCCGGGCAGAGGTCAAGGCAGGCAGCAGGCAAGGGAATAGTCAGTTCCGGGCAGAGGTGAAGGCAAGCAAGGGAATAGTCAGGTCTGGGCAGGGGTCAAGGCAAGCAAGGGAATAGTCAGGTCTGGGCAGGGGTCAAGGCAGGTGGCAGGAAATAGAGTAGTCAGGTTCACACAGTGGTCAAGTTAGGCGACAAGCTAGAGAGTAGCCAGTTATATGCAGTGGTCAAGGCAGGCAGCAGGCAAGAGAATAGTTACATCTGGGAAGAGGTGAAGGCAGGAGAACAGTTAAATCCGGGAAGAGGTCAAGGCAGGCAGCAGGCAAGAGAATAGTCAGGTCTGAGCAGGGGTCAAGGCAGGTGGCAGGAAATAGAGTAGTCAGGTTCATACAGAGGTCAAGGTATGCGGAAGGCAAGAGAGCAGTCAGGGCCGGGCAGAGGTCAAGGCAGGCAGCATAAGCATATTAGTCAGAACCGCATGCAAAATTCTCTTTTCATCCGAAGGTCTTTGTTTTGCTGCTAGTGATACCAATGCATCCATGTTGTCCCTGCACAAGGACCACCCCTCCTTAATGCGTTTCACCAATGAAGGCTCGATCGCAAGGATGGATTAAATACGTGGGGTGGTCCTTGGGTGGGGGCAACATGGATAATTTGGAGGAAAACAGAATTTTGTGTGCAGCTCTTGACTAATATTCCTAGAAGGCAGCAGTCAGGTCAGGCCAGGGGCGGACTGACCATTTGGAAACTCAGGCACTGCCCGAGGGCCCGGGGGTCAGTAGGGGGCTCAAGAGATGCCCCTGGTACCTTTATCATAAACTTTTTTGAGTTTGGGCAAGGACACAGGGGCCCCATGATCCCCTATTGCCCGGGGGCCCCATGAGTTGTCAGTCCGCCCCTGGGTCAGGCTGTCCAGGTCAGCAGCAGCAGGTTCAGTATTATAGCAATCTAGGTTGAGGGTGGCCGCTGGAAGTCACAGCACCTAACACTTTAAAGGCTGGCACTTAAATACCCTGCAGAACAACTGATTGGCTCCGTGTTCTGCTTCTCCCTCTCCCAGCCTGAGCTCGGCTGTACATGGACTACAAGAGGGTGATTCCAGGTCACTTTCAGGTAGATACAAAAAAAAAAAAATCATTTAATTGTGTATTATTGGTTAGAGTGGCATTAATATGTGTCTTTTATATCTGCCCGGAGACCAGCTTGACGCATATATCAGAATAGAACGTACCAGCGTGGGGTACTCACGTGGAATGTAGCTGGAAGTGGTCGTGGCTCCTCAGGTCTGGCTGTTGGTCGTTTAGTACATTGGCGGTGAGTGAAGTCGGTGAAGTGCTCTCACCCTGAGGTCAGTAGATGCTCATATTTCTGTTTTATGATTGTGTGCTGTCACATCTGGATACAAACCTATTACCAGCTGTACCTCCGCGCTCCCCGCACACCTCCCTGCACTCCCACTGACATGTTGGGCAATAAATGTGAATTGTGATAGACAAGCAGATGCCATTAAACGTCATGTGAGCTGATTCTCCTTTACTGCCTGCGAGACGCCTGACTCTTCCCTGGATGAGATGGATGAAGGCGCAGACCCACCTGGCACTGCCCGTCCCTGCCAGGGAGACAGAAGAGGGCTCATCATAAACTCTTTCCTCTTCTGTGCTGCCAACATGTCCCTTCCATGTAGAATCACATCCACATGCATCTCTCATGGGCCCCGGTGCAGACGTTACCTCACTGGGTATCTCCCTTGGGCCCCTTCTCAGAAGTGACATCCATGTTCATCTTCCTTGGGCTCCAGTACAGACGTTACCTCCCTTTGCATCTACCATGGGCCTCTGTGCAGAAGCTACATCACTTTGCATCTCCCATGGGCCCCTCCACAGACGTGACTGCCTTGTTCATCTTCCATGGGCCCCTCCATGGGCGTGACATCCCTGTGCATCTCCCATGGGCCTTTCCATAGAAATGACATCCCTATGCATCCCCCATGGCCCCAGTGCAGAGGTTACCTCCCTGTGCATCCCCATGGGTCCCTCCATGGAAGTTACATCACTATGCATCTCCCGTGAGTCCCACCACAGAAGTGACATCCCTGTGTAATTTTCATGGGCCCCCGTGCAGAAGTTACATCACTATGCATCTTCCATGGGTCCCTCCATGGAGGTGACATCCCTGTGTAATTTTCATGGGCCCCCGTGCAGAAGTTACATCACTATGCATCCTCCATGGGTCCCTCCATGGAGGTGACGTCCCTGTGTAATTTTCATGGGCCCCCGTGCAGAAGTTACATCACTATACATCTTCCATGGGTCCCTCCATGAAGGTGACATCCCTGTGCATCTCCCATGGGCCTTTCCACAGAAATTGCATCCCCCATGGCCCCAGTGCAGAGGTTACCTCCCTGTGCATCCCCATAGGTCCCTCCATGGAAGTTACATCACTATGCATCTCCCATGAGTCCCACCACAGAAGTGACATCCCTGTGTAATTTTCATGGGCCCCCGTGCAGAAGTTACATCACTATGCATCTTCCATGGGTCCCTCCATGGAGGTGACATCCCTGTGTAATTTTCATGGGCCCCCGTGCAGAAGTTACATCACTATGCATCCTCCATGGGTCCCTCCATGGAGGTGACGTCCCTGTGTAATTTTCATGGGCCCCCGTGCAGAAGTTACATCACTATGCATCCTCCATGGGTCCCTCCATGGAGGTGACATCCCTGTGTAATTTTCATGGGCCCCCGTGCAGAAGTTACATCACTATGCATCTTCCATGTGCATCTCCAATTGGCCCCTCCCCAGAAATGACATCCCTGTGCATCTTCTATGGGCTCCAGTGCAGAGATGACCCGCTGTGCACTCCCCATTGGCCCCGGTGCAGAGGTTACTTTCCTGTGCATCTCCCGTGGGCCGCAGTGCATAGGTTACTTCCCCAGTAAAGATGTTATATTCCTGTGTTCTTCCAGGGGCCCCAGTGCATATGTGACAGTCCTATGAATCTTGCATTGGCCTGGTACAGTAGGTATCTCCCTGTGCATCCTCCAGGGGCCCCAGTGCAGAGATTATCTTCCCGTGTATCCTCTATGGGCCGCAGTACACAAGTAACCTCCCTAGTACAGAAATTATATCACTTTGCATTTTCCAGAGCCCCAGTGCATATGTGACATCCCTAGGAATCTTGCATTGGCCTGGTGCAGACATGACATCACTGGGGACCATCCATGGGCCCTGGGGCAGAAGTGACCTTTCTATTCATGGATCCTGGCATATACATGACATCACTGTGACATTTCCAGGGGCCCTGGTGCGGATGTGACATCACTGGGGACTTTCAATGAGCCCCGATACAGAAGTGACATCCCCTGTCTTCTTGCATGGGCCCTGCTGCAGAAATGACATTCCTGACTTCTTCCTTGCACCCTGGAGCAACATTGAAACCGCTGTGCGTCTTCTTCCAGGATCCCAACTGCAAAAGTGACATCTCTGACTTCTTCCATAGGCCCTGCTGCAGAAGGCCCATCATAGTGCATCTTCCATGGACTTGTTTCATGGGCCCCACTGCACAAGTGACATCCCCAGATTCCTCAGGTGGCCCTGCTGAAGGAACATCATATTGCCTCTTCCACAAGTCCCAGTATGAAAATGGCATCCCTGTGCATCTTCCATTGGCCCCAGTCTTCTCAGTCAGGACTGGTGCTGTGACCCCTACCTCCCCCTTGTAGTCATTTGTAGCTTTCAGTCCATCACACCACAGTGCGTCTTCCATGGGCCCTAGTGCAGAAATGGAATCCCTGGGAACCTGCCATGGACCCCAGTCTGGGCGGTCAGGACTGGTGCTGTGACCCCTGCCTCCGACCCCCACCTCCCCCTTTGTAGTCATTTGTAGCTTTCAGTCCATCACACCACAGTGCATCTTCCATGGACCCTAGTGCAGACATGGAATCCCTGG